TTTATTCCAACAACATGGGACAGAAGAAAGACTTACATTTGAGCTGATAGGGGATGAGAATTGGGTTAAAAACCCAGCTTGCTTTTCTATTTGTTAGTGCCTGATTTCCTGGGTGTAGGTCTTTCCATGTGGGTAGATCAAACTCTCCTCTTGTAAAGGATTTCTTTGATTGCATTCTCTCTGGTCCACCTGCCTTCCACAATGACCTCTTGCTGAAGCATTCTCTACAATATTTAACTTTTCAAGTAGCAAAGGAGAATCCTGCCCAGAATTATCAATAGGTTGAGTCATGGCAACTGGATGCATTTTTTGTTGATTTGAGACATTTCGCTGACCATCAAAGCAGTTTTTTCAGTCTGAATAAATTGATCAGGGTAGCGTTTCTCAACCTAGACATGTGGATTTCAATTCCCAGAATTCCCCAACCAGCCATGGGAATTCTGGGAGTTGAAGTCCACATGCCTTAAAGTTCTCCAGGTTGAGAAAAACTGGGTTAGGGAAATCTGAGTAGGCAGAAAGTTGTTGGAATGTGCCAACACCTACCATAGGGCCTGGGTATCTACGAGACCGCCTTCTGCCGCCAATAGCCTCCCACCGGCCAGTACGCTTGCACAGAGAGGGGCTCCTTAGGGTGTCGTCGGCCAGACAATGTTGGCTGGCGACCCCCAGGGGGAGAGCCTTCTCTGTGACGGCACCCGCCCTCTGGAATGACCTACCCCCAGAGATACGTATGATCCCGGACCTCCAGACTTTTCGTCGGGCCCTTAAAACTCACTTATTTCATGTAGCCGGGCTGGCTTGATCCCATCTTTCGGTTTTAATTTGTAATTGATTTTATTGGGGTGTTTTTAAATTGTGGGCTGAAATTATTTAATATCTTTTTTAAATTGTTTTAAATTTTGTATGCTATGTTTTACCTTGGCTGTTCACCGCCCTAAGTCCTGCTGGAGAAGGGCGGTATAAAAATCAAATCAAATAAATAAAAATAAACGTTTTCCCGAAAATACGACCTACCCCGAAAATGAGTCCTAGCCTGATTTTTTTTTAGGGTGGGCCTAATATACACCCTATCCCAAAAAGAAGCCCTACTGAAGGGGGTGGCCAGCATAGGAGGCAGCCCTTCCCTTTCCTGGTCACCTCATGGCTGCTGTGCCCCTTAACCGTGGCCCGTGGGTCAGCTGACCCAGCGAGGGCCAGGGGTTCTGTCTCTCTGGATGCCTAGAGATGTTTCCAGCGCACTCTTGCTAGCTCCAGCCCTGTCCATGGCGCCAGGCAACCTTGCAGCCGAGGGCCCCTCTGTTCCATAGCTCACCTTGTAGCATCAGCAGCTGGGTAGAGGCGGGGGGGCGGGGGGTGGGGAACCAATTCTGACGGGCCGCATGGCTTTCTGCCTCATTGTAGCAGAAGCCAAACAACACCCTAGCTCCAGGTCTGGTGGAGCACAAACCGTGGTTGCCGCCTGCTCCATAGCCACAAGGTGAGCTGCAGAACAGAGTGTGAAGTTTCCGAAAGATGCCCTAATTAATTCATGAGCCATGAGCCGAACTTCAAAAGAAATATAGTCATTTATTAGGAGCACCATTTCGGCAATATTCGGATGCAGTTAGAACTAATCCCACATAGATTTACGTTCCCCTATGACCCTATCTCTCCCCTCCTCTCTGGACATGTCATAAATCACATTCTCCAATTAACCACTTTGGCTGGCTGTGAAATCCAACACCCTCCTTCTGATTGCGGTCAGGAAGAATGTATGGAATGCACTTCAGTTAGGGAAATCAATCAGCTCTATCAGTTCTCCCTCCCTCCTGCTCATGGCAACTTGAAAGCTTTGCAAGTTGACACAGAGGGGGCCTCGGCTGCAAGGTTGCCTGGCGCAGTTGGCAGGGCTGGGGCTAGCAAGAGTGTGCAGCAAACATCTCCAGCCACCCGGAGAGACAGAACTCGCGACCCTCACTGGATCAGCTGATCCGCAGTCCGCTGTTAAGGGGCCCAGCAGCCATGAGGTGACTGCACTCACCGCCTCCTGCACCTCAAAAAAAAAAAAAAGATCTTCCCGAAAATAAGCCCAAGTGCTTATTTTCAAGCCTAAAAGAAAATAAGACCCGATCTTATTTTTCGGGAAACATGGTAACATTCTTAGGGGTATTCCCTCACCAACTAAAGCGCTTCTTCCCCAAAATTATGGCAATATGTCGATGGAGATTCTCTGTCATCCGGGTAGAATTTTGTCTGTAGGTAGAGTCATGGCAACTGGACTTCTTTTTTGTTGGTTTGAGACGTTTTGCTGCTCCTCCAAGCAGCTTCTTCTTCAGTCTGAACAAGTTGGTGAGAGGAATCTGAGTAAGCAGTGAGTCTACCTAAGAAATACCCCCAAGAATTTTAGAAGTTGACACATTCCAACGAGACTCTGCCTACTCAGATTCCCCTAACCAACTTGTTCAGATTGAAGAAGCTGCTTGGACGGGCAGCAAAACATCTCAAACCAGGGGTGAAATCCAGCAGGTTCTGACAGGTTCTGGAGAACCGGTAGTGGAAATTTTGAGTGGTTCGGAGAACTGGCAAATACCACCTCTGGCTGGCCCCAGAGTGGGGTGGGAATGGAGATTTTGCAATATCCTTCCCCCAGGAGTGGGGAGGGAATGGGGATTTTGCAGTATCCTTCCCCTGGAGTGGGGTGGGAATGGGGATTTTGCAATATCCTTCCCCCAGGAGTGGGGAAAGAATGGAGATTTTGCAATATCCTTTCCCCAGGAGTGGGGAGGGAATGGGGATTTTGCACTATCCTTCCCCTGGAGTGGGGTGGGAATGGAGATTTTGCACTATCCTTCCCCTGCCATGCCACCAAGCCACACCACGCCCACAAAGCCACGCCCACAGAACCAGTAGTAAAAAAAAATTGAACTTCACCACTGTCTCAAACCAACAAAAAATAAGTCCAGTTGCCATGACTCAGCCTACAGCCAACTCCACCTGGTTGAGTGAGAATTTTCATTGGCATCTTGCCCAGAATCTTATCTACTGGGCAAATAATACTTTTAATCTTTCTTTCCCTCCCTCCCCCCCTTCCATGATGTGGTGCAAACTGCTCTTTGGACTGGCTTAAGAGGAAAACCCAATGAGATGTCAAAGGATTGGGGCAGTTGTCCATCTTTTGCACTGTTTGGGAACTCAGCAGCAAACACTGAAGCTTCCTTTTGCATTTCACTGATGTTGGTTGTTTCCCCCGCCTCCCCGAAGCAGGTTCAGGAGGAGGAAAAGATCATGTTAAAATGGCAAACATCCTAATGCCACAGAATTTCCCTTCCCCTCCCCACAACTTCTCGCAGTTGAGAATATGCTTCCTGCCCTTCCCTTGAACTGGCCTGACAGTCGGTTAGTCTCGGATAGGTTTCAGGGTATAAAACTGACTTGCGGCAAAAGGAGATGAACATATGGCACTATTGTTCAGGATGCCTGCAAATCATATCTTCTTTCAGGATGTTCCATTCCATTCCATTCCATTCCATTCCATTCCATTCCATGCATATGCAATCTTTCTTTCTTTCTTTCTTTCTTTCTTTCTTTCTTTCTTTCTTTCTTTCTTTCTTTCTTTCTTTCTCTTTTTCTCTCTCTGGCTCTGGCTTTTTTCTCTTTCTCCCCCTTTCTCCTTTTCTCACATCCATAGACACCTCACAAATACTTCCTGAATACTTTTCACAAGTTGTCAGTTGACATTCTGTACCCATTAGGCTTGTACTGGTTTAATGGGCACAGAATGTTGAGTGACAGCTAACTGATCTATTTTGAGGGTTGTTCACTCCTTCCCTTTTACGTTTGCAATGCTTCTAGAAAAACATTAGGGTTCCTCTACCTTTCCCTCTGATTAGTGAGCCGTGGCTACTTTCATGGCTGCATCCCCAGAATGGATTCGGTATGAGTATTTTGGATAAGAATAGGATTAGGTGCTTTCAGAACAGCTCATCCAATCTGGTTCAATGTGAAGAATGAGTTCCTCAGAGCAGCAAATCAGGCAGCTGTAGTAGAGAAACTATATTACAGGTAGTCCTTGGCTTACAACCATTCATTTAGCAACTGTTTGAAGTTACAATGTCACTTAAAAGAGTGACTTGTGACTGGACTTCGCATTTAACGATTCTCACAGCATCCCTGTGGTCATATGATCAGAATTTGGGCAATTGACATGTATTTACAACAGTTGCAGCATCACTGGGTCATGTGATCACCCTTCCTGGCCTTCCCAGCGGGCTTCTGACGACCAAAGTCAAGGGGAGAAGCTGGATTCACTTAACATCTGCATTTCACAGCAGTGGAAAGTCTGCTCCCAATTGTGGTTGTAAGTCAAGGATTTGAAGCCAGAATAACTCTCTTAACTAACATTTGGCAATGCAGATCTGCACACTGACCAGGAGCTACAATCCTCCATCGGATGTCTGCCTAGGCAAGACACAAGGGCTGCATTCATATGTAGCAATGAACCAGACTGTTTAACTTAGTTAATTAAGTTGGGAATTAGCATTGTGGCTAATGCATATAGCCTACTATTGAAATAACTGCTAAACAAGCCAGAGAGAATTAGCTCAGTGCAAAAACAAGATGGGTTCACAATATTTTTTGTTGCTTTTAAAGATCACATCTTGCTGCAGCTTAGTCAGCAATAATTCTAGATCTGGAAGGCCCATGAAACTGTTCTTGGCCATTTCTCTTTTGTTGACCTGCTCACACGCAGCAAGAACTTTTGTGTGATGCCGTCTTGCTTGTTCTTATTTTCATTCAGCACATCAAAGTTGGGGCTTCCAGTTGTCTTTGATTTTTTTTCTAAAGTTGGCAGTTCAAACCAGTGACAGGTAAAACATGTTATTTCTACAGAAAGGACTTGAACTATGGATGTTTTCTTTAGGCTTGAAGCCAAAAAAGAATTAGGTACTTAAGATAGCTTGATTTTTCTTAATGCTGCGCCCCTTGGATGCTAATGGATGCTTGGCTCTTTCGCTTTGCAGAATGGACAGGCAGCTCCAGAGGAGAGAAAAGAGGCTTTGCCAAAGGTAAGACTCCAGATATAAAAAAAAATTAAAAATAAAATTCTGCTCTTTATAGCACAATATTTCCTGCTCAATACATTTGGCCTGTGTTTGCTTGCCTGGTAAGGTTAAATCAAGCGTACCATCCATATTTTTTTCTAATGTTTATGGTTTTAATAGATATTTGTATTACATTGTTTTATTAATAATGTTGTTTTAATTGGTGGTTGGGAGCTACCCAGAGCTTGATATAAGGTGGGTGGCTATATAAATATTTTAAATAAATAAATATATTTTGGAGGTCCAGTTTCCATCAGCAGATGAGAAAAGGACAATGTAGTTTCGTTATCTGGATGGGAAGGGGGGAGGAGATAGTTTTCTAAACTTTGGTTTAAAAGATGCTAATTTTTTTTTCAACCTCGATTGGAGGAAAGCAAAAATAATCCTCTATATGTACCAAAAGATCCCATTTCCTCATCTATGCAGGTAGTTCTGGTCTTATAACACTTCATTTAGTGACTGTTTTAAGGTGATGACACCTTCTTTTCTCTAGACTGGCCAAACCCAAATCCTGCAACCGTTTTTCATATGTTGTAGTCTCCAGGCTTTTAATCATCTTAGTTGCTCATCTTTGCAATCGGGACCAGAATTTTCAATACTAAACAAGATGGTTGTTAAGTGAGTTTAGCGGTCGTTTAGTGAATCATAAGCAAATCTGGCTTCCCATTGACATTGCATGTCAGAAGCCAGGTGGGAAGGTCTCAAATGGCACTCACATGACCCCAGGACACTGCAATGGTCATAAATACATGTTGGTTGCCAAGTGCCTGAATTTTGACTGCAGGACTACGGGGAAGCTACAACAGTTGTAAGTGTAACTTGGAATGGTTGCTAAACGAATGGTTGTAAATCAAGCAGAGGTGGGTTTCAGCAGGTTCTGACAGGTTCTGGAGAACCGGTAGCGGAAATTTTGAGTAGTTCGGAGAACCGGTAGTAAAAATTCTGACTGGCCCCGCCCCCATCTATTCTCTGCCTCTCAAGTCCCAGCTGATCGGGAGGAAATGGGAATTTTGCAGTAACCTTCTCTTGGATTGGGGAGGGAATGGAGATTTTACAGTATCCTTCCCCTGCCACGCCCACCAAGCCACGCCCACCAAGCAATGCCATGCCCACCAAGCCACGCCCACCGAACCAGTAGTAAAAAAATTTGAAACCCACCACTGAAATTAAGAACTACCTATACAGTGTTAGAAACTTTAAGATGTCTGGACATCAACCCAGAACTCCCCAGCCAGCATGATTTAGAGCAGGACAAGAAACAATGGTTGGAAACTAACCAAAGAGAGAAGCAACCTGGAATTAAGGAGAAACTTCCTAACAGTGAGGACAATTAACCAGTGGAACAGCTTTGCCTTCAGAAATTGTGGGCGTTCCATAACTGGAGGTTTTTAAGAAGAGACTAGACAGCCACTTATCTGAAATAGTCTAGGTTCTCCTGCTTGAGCAGGGGGCTGGACTAGAAGACCTCTAAGGTCCCTTCCAACTCTGATTCTTCTATTCCCCGTCCCCTTCCATTCCATTCCATTCCATTCTTCTAATTTCTGGGAGTTGAAGTCCATACATATTAAAGTTGCCAAAGTTGAGAAACACTGCTATGGTACATAAACTACGGCACTTGGCCTTTTTTTCCCTGCAGCATCTGTGCACTTTATCCCAATAAAAGGCAGATTTGGATGTTAACGTGCCCATCCAAAAGATGTATGGCCATCTGTTTTTCATCAGGAATTTGTTACTAAAATCTGCCTGTCTTGTCTGTAACTCCTTTTCTTCAACGTAAATATTGTCAGGATTATTAGAAATGGCTTTTCTTTTGAGAAATTCTGTTGTACGGATTCTGGATGTTGCAAGACTCCACCGGCCTTTACAAATACTTTCATTTCCCTTGTAAAGGTTGCTTCACCCCTCTGTTCTAAAATAAGAAAATGGTAGGATCAACTGCACTTCTGATCCTTGGAGAGAAACATAGGCAGCTTATCTTGCTGGATGTCAGAGCAAGGATTGATCAATGGGATTTTGAAGATTAGAACAGGGACATCCTGGGCAGGGGAAATGATTCACTCTTGCTTTTTTTACCTGTATGGCCACGTGCAAATGGAAAAAAAAAACTTCCCTGTAACACCCCTGGATTAGAGACGTATAGTTAAAATGCCAATTGTTTAATGAAAGTTGAACAGTGACTATATTCTATATTTATTCTACGTTGATATATTCTACATTTATTTTCCCCAACCATTCAAACGGGATGATAGACAGTCTTCTCATCGGGATTTTAGTCTTGTGCTGTTTTTGTGTGTGGGGTGTTGTTGTTGTTTTTAATTTAATATTTTTTATTAAAAAGTTTTCCCGTTTTCTATCACAATTTTCATCTTTTACCGCACTTCGGTATCAGTATACCTCATATGTGCATATAGGTTATTTCCATTTTTCTTATATACATTATAATTAGTGACTATAAATTAACATATCTTGATCTGTACACTGTGTGCTTAATTATAGTTACATAAATATATATTCATTTTGATCAGGTCTTATCTTACTTTAACATCCTTAATCTTTACTTCTATTCTCTAACCAGTTGTACCATAAAGTCCAAATCAAATAGTGGTCAGTTTCTCTTCTGTCTTTTATTTCCATTGTCAGCCTATCCATCTCTGCACCTTCTAGCACTTTGTTTATCACCATTACATCAAAAGATATACTTTCATTTTTCCAATTTTGCGCATAAACAATTCTTGCCGCTGTTATTATATGTAGCATTATATATTGGATTTTTTATTGTAATTTCCTATTAATATACCTAATAGAAATAACTCCGGTTTTACTACCACATGTGGTGGACATGCCCAGAAGCAAAGAAATATTGGATAAAGATAAGAAACTGGTGGTGTGGCCTGCCAGCGGCCTGTGCGGATCGTGGCTGATCCCAACAACGAGGAGGCTGGTGTGGTGTTGCGCCAGCAGCCGGTGCAGCTGGCGCTCGCATTGGACAGCGAGGAGGCTGAAGAGGATGTGGTGCCAGAGGCAGAGACTCAGCCAGGGCCTTCAGAACCTCCAGTGGAGAGAGCGAAGTGGAGGAGTCTCTCCTCAATGCTCGAGCACACAGGGCTGCCAAAAGGCAGGAGTGGCTACTCAGGAGGAGGAGGTCTCCTCGAGAGTAAGGCTTGAGGATAATTGGCCACTCCCTTAGCCTATTTAAGTCACACACCGTTAGTAAGTTTCTTGCTAGAAACAACTTGTAATTATCATCAGAGCATTTTTGGAAAAGTCTTATCATATCTTGTTTTCTGGGCCAACCTTTGCCGGACTTTGGTTTATTCTTGCTACTTAATAAATTTGATAAGAACCGTTGGTGTGTGTCAATATCCTCAGGAATCTGGAGCTGGGGCAGAACAACTGGCTAGAGGAAATTACCAAATAACAAATAGATCTAAAACCGGAGTATTTTTTTTTTTTTTGGCAAGGCTTCAGTTGCACAATGTGGATTTTTTTTTGATCCCCCCCTGTCCAGTAAGTACCCTCCATCCCTCCATGAAGCCTTAGTGAACTGCTGCTGAAGAGAGGAAGAGTAGCAAATTATACCAAGCATGGGCATCAATTGCAAGATCTTTTTTAAAAAATTGTTTGTTTTATTCTGCTTACAGAATAAAAATGCAGCGAACAAAAACGATGCTTTTTAAAAAATGACCGTACATCTTTTTGGATGGGCACATTTACCATCCAAATCTGCCTTTTATTGGGATAAAGTGCCTGAGTCTCTCTGAAGCTGCAGCCAAAGCATAAATCTGCTGACAGAAGAGCAAGAAGCAACTTGATCTCTGACTGTTATCCGATAGATGTTGTAATGTTGGCTGCTTTGAAAGGAAAAAAAAAAAAGTTTTATGAAATCATGAGCCATTTAGAAGGCCGCCCTGGAGACCCCAGGTTTGATCTTGCTACTTTGGTGATGGGGAGTATAACTTGCCTTTCGCTTCCTTTGTAGCAGGGGTCTCCAACCTTGGCAACTTTAAGCCTTCTGGACTTCAACTCCCAGAATTCTGGGAGTTGAAGTCCACAAGGCTTAAAGTTGCCAAGGTTGGAGACTCCTTCTTTGTAGCATTTCTTCAATTCACCAACCTTGTTGGTTAACCAGCGTTCCTAGGAGTCTCCCAAAGTATGTTCAAACTCTGTTGTTGCAGACTGTAATAACAGAATCAGGAAAGCCTGGCAGAGATTGCCCCCTTATGCAACAGAGAATCAGAGTGGGATAATCTTGAGCCTTTCCTCACCTTCGGGCTTCTGTTTACAAAATAATCGTTGAATTCCTTCTTCAGGGTCATCTCCATGCTCCCATACACAAAAAGGAGAGAAGTCTTAGTTCCAGGCTAAGAAACAGCTTATTCCAGTGGTGGAATTCAATTTTTTTTTACTACCGGTTCTGTGGGTGTGGCTTGGTGGGCGGGGCATGGCTTGGTGGGCATGGCAGGGGAAGGATACCGCAAAATCTCCATTCCCACCCCACTCTAGGGAAAGGATGCTGCAAAATCCCCATTCCCACCCCACTCATGTGGGAAGGATACTGCAAAATCCCCATTCCCACCCCACTCTGGGGCCAGCCAGAGGTGGTATTTACCGGTTCTCCGAACTGCTCAAAATTTCTGCTACTGGTTCTCCAGAACCTGCTGAATAGCACCTCTGGCTTATTCCAATTAAAGGCCCCTTTAAATATTGGGATTTCAATTCCCAGAATCAATGAGCATAGCTGTTGGCCCCCCTGTCTGGGAATTCTGATAGCCTGAACATACTTAAGAGGTACTGCAGCAAAATCTGGCACAGCTTCTGAGATTGAAACAACACAGTCAATAGTTTCTCAGAATGCAATTGCTACTCAGGTGTATGATCAAATATAAAGTATAGTATTTGCTGTATGTTTCCTGAGAATACAAGACAAATACCTTGTGATTTCCAAAAGGTGGTAGAAAAGCTCT